TGTGGGGGAAATTACAACTCCTCGTCGGGAAGGCGGGGCGGGGGGGGGGGGATGCATTTAGACCGGAGATGGGGGTGGCTTGAACCAAACTTGAGGGGGGGGGGCTGACCTCGCTACGCCACTGTTAGGGAAGCGGAATGAACATGAGCGCCAGCAAGTCTAGAAAACGGTAGAGCACGGTTCCACGTCCTCCTTCGAGGGATATTAGGCAGGTGGGAGGGGCGAGAAGAGAGGGAGCGAAGGGCGTGAGTTCGCGATGCAACTGGGAAGGAGAACGTTTGAGGTAACAGCTTGCGCTCGCGCATCATGCAGCAGAAAATGCCTGAATGAAAATAATATTTATTTTCCCGTTTGCATATCCAGTGGAATGAATAATGGATTTTGGAACTATTGGAAGCCTGAAATGCTCCTCCTTGTAAGAAAAATTTTGCGTATACTATTAAAGGGGAGAAAATGGCTATTTGTTTCCGAAATGCCGGAAAATTTCAAACTTAGGTTCAGTAAAATCCCTAATGATCTGAGTGAGGTGAACAGATTTGTCTGAAAATGGACCTGAAGCTTGACCTTCAGCCTCCTGAATGGAGGCTGAAGGCCCTCCCTTGGGGTCCTCTACAATAATTATGAGCCAGAATTTGATTCCAGGGGGGTCGATTCTCATTTTCCCTTAGTACCTTAATCGCAAAGCATTCTGAAAATTATTTTCTGAAATTAGCTAATTCCATTAGCTAATGGAATTGACTAATGATTAGTTAATTAAATTAACTAATGGACTTAGCTAATGGAATTACAAAGTGAAAGGAAAGGTTTCATGCTCCATGCATTGCGAAATCGGAAGAGCTGCGATTGGAAAACTGAGAAATATTCCATGAAGGTTGTCTCGCCTTTAGTCATAATAAGCGGATTGTCATGAATGATGATGAAAAATTCTATGCCCCAAGTAACACAAGATATTCCAGCAACGTTTAGGAAATGTTGATGAACAACGTTGCATCTATGTGTAAATGCCCAAAACGTCAACGTTGCTCAAATTTTGGGAAGGAACATTGCATTTACGTTGAAAATCGTTACTTATTCATTGCATATATGTTGCAGAAACGTTTCAGAATTTATGTTGCTGCAATGTTGATTAAAAACGTTGCTTCACGGGCACCTAATCTGGGCCTATATTGGCATTACGGAGAGGCGTAGGCTTCACTGGTCCTGAACTGTACCGATATTGGACCAATATTGAATTATTTATTTCATCCTTTCGTACTTTAACTCTCTATCCAGAAATTCTCATCAACAGGACGAAGCTTGTACTGGTTTCACCCTCTACCCATGCATAATACAGTATCTGTAGCATGTACAGGCAGGACACAGTACATTTTTGGAGGTGATCTTCCCCTGATGTGCTAAATTGCCCAATACAGGAAAAGGTCCGACCACAATGTTCTATGGAGTGTCCACGAGGTCAATCCTTCGTGTCCTCAGCTAATAGCCAGGATGAGGATATGAAGTATTGAGATCGCATACTCTCTTCCATCGTTTTTATTGCCTTGTAGGATGAATTCGACGAATTCTAGGAAAAGGGTTCTTTTTGGGAATATGAGCTTTTTTATCTTGACCCCATTAATCTGTCTGGAAAATAAGGATTACAGGTGATGAAGTGTCCGTGTTCATTGATTCCTATAATGAGACAATGTGATACATATGGCAAAGTACTAGACATTCCAGTGCGGAACTATTCCAGGGAAAGGGAGAAGAGCACTTTTGTGTACTGTGAGAAAGTGAGACTTATGTCTCCATCTCGTGGCAAGGAGGACAACATTACAATTCTCTAAAACTCCTAAGTCCATGTTGCATCAGAATGTTGTCGCTACGTTGTCGATGTCAAGAGTGTCAACGTTCTCTCAATGTTGATAGCTAATGTTGCAATGACATTCGTAGAAGTGTCGCAGCAACATTCCAAGTGAAAACATTGAAGCAATGTTTTCTCAATGTTGTACAGCAACTTGCAACATAGAGTAACATAGGCAACATTTCGAAAACGTTTCATCAACATATTGTGTTACTTGGGGCGAGGAATTCAGTTGATGGGAATTCCGGGATTTTACTCGCAGATTCGGCAATTTCCTTTTTTTCAGTATGCCGGAATCATCGTGGTCAATTGGCTACAAGTGGAAAGCGGAGAATTCCCAGGAGGCGTCTACTTCTCTCAATTCATCATTGACGGTAGTCGGAATCTGCTAAATAGCCAAAAATTAGATGTATNTCTCATTTCGTATCCCATCGCGAATCAAAACCAGATGCGACGAATGCGATGAATCTCCGAATGCAGAACGGAATTGACGGATTACTCGCAAGTTCTGCAAGCTGAACTGGACGGAGCGGTAATGTCGATAATGTTCGACTTCGATGAATGCGTGGACCCGACTGGCCAACTCGATCTTTCTGGTTCCACCTTTGGGGCTTACTTCCAGGACCTCGCCATTTTTTATAATGAAGGTAGGATTTAAAAGAAAAAAATTTTTTTTTAATAAAAAAAAAAATTATTTCAAGTACCTTTTACTTGAGCTCTTCGTACATTTAGTACATGCGCATCTCTTTTTCAGGCCTGGGAGAAATGATATCCGGTTCCGCATTTGCGATGACAAGCGATCCCGTCAGCCTCACCGCCTACGTCTACTACGGAACGGCCATCACACCGAGCAACAACGCCACCATCTTCCCAGGCTACTGGCACTTCAACGAAAACGGCGAATGGGTGAACGACTACGACGGCGCGATATTGGAATGCTCCCTCGGCGGGGGTGTCACGATCATCAGGGAGGCATGAGAGTCCATTAAAATCCTTTTCGTTCATTTATTCATCCCGCCAATATCCGATAAGATTTCCTTCTCTAATTCATTCTGAGAATAGGCGGTTCATGAAATAAAGTTTTTGAGAATTTATGGAATTTCAAGAATTGTCCCATCCATGAAAGGAAGCTATCCTTCAACTTTTATTTCGATTTTTATTCCTTAATGCAGCTGCGCATAGAAAAAGAAGCTGCTCCAGAAATATTGACAGAATTCACGTTGGCGAAATTGCTCACCCGTTAGGACAGACTCATCTGCATCTGAAATCATAAATGCGTTAAAATTAATGCAAGTCGCGATTAACAAATGAAAAATATTAAATGAAGAATTAAAATGGATCCGATGGACGTCAATCGCAATTTGCTTTTGCAGCGGAATTTCTTTGGATGTCCGTGCAGCAAATGATAACAGAGAAATTTACCTCTTTTAAATTTCGTTATTTCGCAGATGAAAAGGTCTCATCTGAGTTTTTATCCTGACATTCTCAATTCGTTCTTTCTGCTTTAACGATGGCAACCCTCGAAGAGACAATGGCACTTGTCGATTAGGAATTGCGGTCCGGTGATGAATCGGTGTGTGATGGATGTGGTGGTGATGAATCTTTTTAACATTTTTCCCTTTTTCCATCTTTTGTTGCCAGGGTATGAATCCTTAAATAATGTCTACTATTTTGTGAGTTTCAGAACACCGTAAAGTTTTCTTGCGAACATGTTGCTTGAAACCCGCGGCAATTCGCGGCTAACCTCTTCGCGGCCTATTACCACGATCCCGGTGATCGGGACGTGAGAAAAGCATGTGAGGCGTTGGTAAAATCGATTTGGAAGAAATTTGAAGAAAAGAAAATAGTTTTATTGCCAACGCACCTCATAGTGACTACACGTTCAAATTTGGTCCAAAATCAACTAAGTGGCCGATTTTTTGCACAAGAAAGTTTAAAGACATTTACCACTAAATCAGATTGCTAAAAGCACAGAACTCTCGTCATCTTCAAATTGGCGTGATACATAGAAACTCTACCGATATTGAAAGCAACTTTTGCAGCAACTGGACGCCGGGGACCCAGAATCGGGGTCCAACTTTGTGCTTCGCTTTCCATCCCGTATGCAAATTCAGGCCTATCGGTTATATATTTTTAGACCGACGAGGCGTTCACGTTTGCGGGCCATGCGAACATCCGAAAGTGCGTCATCGCATGGGACCCAAATCCTCATATTAAACGGTTGTTGAATTGAATGTGATATGTGATATCATACAGGTACATAGCCTCTCCGCGTCAAGTCTAGTGCAGGGGTGACATCATACGCACTTAGGCGTCCCAACATACCAATGGATCAGCAGAAGTATACATACCTTCTGCTCCAAAAAAATACATTGGTCATCCGACACGTGTGACCAAAACCAGTGGTTCTACGATAGATTACATGCTAGTGGATCAAACCCTCCTCAGCGAAATTTCCGAATTTCAATTTTTATCTCGTCTCGAGTCTGCTCACATGCCATTATTTTTTCAAATACGGAAAAGGCACTCCTCAGATAGAGTGAACGACGCAACCACGACAGAACATCTTCCTCTTTCCTTGAAATACACCTTTGACCAAGAACCACGAGACAACTGGAAGCAACGTTGGTCAAAACCAGAAGTTCTTACCATCCTGCGAGAGTGTGATGACAAGCTCAGCAGCAGCTGCATTGACGAAGCCGCTGATAAACTACTGACAGCAATCCAAATAACAAGTAATGATATGAGTTCCACGCCGGGGCCAATTGGACACCATCGCAGTAAGCCTGATCCATGGTTCGATGAAGAATGCAGCCTATATAAGAATATTGCTTTGCGTTACCTACGAAATCTGAAAAAAGGAGTTTCAACACCAGAAGGATATTGCTCAGCTCGCTTTCAATATCGTCGCACATTGGAGAAGAAAAATGGTGCCTATCGGC